TGGGGGGCACGGGGAGGGCTGTGCAACACAGAGAAGACAAGTAGTGATTTTACAGCATCTTACTACGCAGATGGACAGTGACCGTGAAAGGGTATGTGGGGTGGACTTGGTGAAGGGAGGAGCCTAGTAAACATAATGTTCTTCATGTAATTGTAGATTAATGATACCAAAATTTAAAAAAAAAAAGAAAAAGAAAACACTAGTGTCTTATAAGCTATACAAATATTCCTCATTTGGCCCACTGCTGCTCGCCATGGGAAGCATTCAGCTAATGAGCCTGGCCTTTCACCTCTTTCCTGACAGAGGAGATGGCAACCTACCTACGATACGTCAGGCGATTAGACTTCTTTGAAAAACCTGACTATGAGTATTTAAGGACCCTCTTCACAGATCTCTTTGAAAGGAAAGGCTACACCTTTGACTATGCCTACGATTGGGTTGGGAGGCCTATTGTAAGTATCTTTTTTTCTACATCCTCACCTCAGATCAGCACTATCTCACCCCTTTATTTGCCAGACTTTCTGCTTAAATCGTATGGGAAAAAAACATTCTTTTGGCTATAAACTTTACATTCACTGACTTTTTGGGGATGATGCCGTAGGTTACTCATACTGGAGTTAGGAAGGAGGAGCCATTCCTTTATATATTTTTAAGGTTCTGGCCAGTATGTCCTAGGATATCGAACTTAAGCCAGTTTTTAAAAAGTTTCATTTGAATGATCCAAAACTGGTGCTCCAATGAGCAGTTAAGGTGCTTGACTTTGTAGGAGTGGAACCCAGCACCATAGGAAACTTGAACTTGCTCCCCTGGCGGGGGGTTCACAGGGCCTGAGAGTGTGCTAGGTAGGAAGCCTTTCTATTTTCCAAGGTGAGTTCCCCTCCAGGGAACTCTGATGGCCAGACTGCCTGCCTTTTTGCAGATAAGCACACTTGAGAGGGCAAGAGGACTTGAGCCTGTCCTTGCCGGCTGAGAATAAAACTACTACTATACTGTGAGAGTTAGAATGACGCTTTCCTTTGCAGAGGAGTTAAATTGGACCTGTTTTCCCCATTTGACTTTTCGTTCTGTTTTCTCAGCCTACCCCAGTAGGGTCGGTTCATGTAGATTCTGGTGCATCTGCAATAACTCGGGAAAGCCACACACACAGGGACCGGCCATCACAACAACAGCCTCTACGGAATCAGGTATATGTCGGGCCTTCATTGTTTCAGGCATTCCCCTTCTTTGTGGCTAATATTCAAACCCAAATTCTTCAGCTTCTCTGCTTAAGTTTGTATACTGAAATTAAAGATGAAGGTCTGGCCATTGCTCAGGTGTGGCATGGCATTCTAGCATGCCTCGGGGCTGTGTAACGGCGCTGGGATGTGGCTGGGCGCCTTCCCTGAAGCATCCACTCTAGAGAATCTGGCCTGTCAGCCTGTGTTGTCTGAAACGGGCAGCCTGCCACAGGTCCAGAGGGCCTGCAGGGCATCCCATCTGCAGTCCATGGTAGAGCTCTTGCCAGTGCTAGTTTTTCCTTGCTGATTAAGAAGGGTAGGTAATTTGGATTTTCAGCTGACCCAGGCATGCCTGGCACCTCCACCCGACCTTTGTCCGTGTACTCAGATTAATTCTAGAGCTGCCACAATTGAGGTGGACATTCAGTGAAGACTCAGCTTTGCTTTAGCCCCTCCAGAGAAGGCCAGGTCGGCCGTCCTTCAGTTTTCATGGTTTAAGAAACTAATGGTCTAGCTGAGAGGCTTCTCTCAACCTAAAGACAGGGGTAGCAGACACATACACAAAGATCAACAAATTTGACATTTTAAAAAAGGAGTAACTGGGAAGTAAATATGAAAATTTTATTTTTATATCATATATATATAGCTGAGAAAAAAATGAGGACCCCAGTAGATAAATAAGCAAACGATAATGAACAGCTATATATATATATATACACACACATATAATAATTATCACCCATCAAATTAGCTTGTTTCACCTGACCTCATTTTTTTCATATGTGCAGACATTTTTACAATAAAATGCAAAATACTTATTATCTTACAGATGTACATGTGAAAGTACATGGGTTAAAAATAGTTGATAGAAGTGCATACACATGCATGTACAGTGAAGCACATAGACAAATATAGACAGTATATACTCTTGGCAAAGTATGTGACTTGGTGGGTAAGAAAAAAACGTGTTAAGGGAGGAAATCTATGTTTTATAGAGTAGATAAAAGAGAGAGTAGGTAGACACAAGATGGGGTTTAGCAAACTGTGTACATTAATTGAGTCCTTAGTTACATGCTTTAATCAAAGAATGGCTAAGAATTATTATTTGACTGACTTCTGTTGTCTTCTGTAAATGTTCTCTCCTATCTGCTTTTTTTTCTCTTTTTTCCTACCTGCCTTTTTAAAAATGTAGTTGAGTGCAGTTAAACTGACAGTTTCATACATTGCCCATAACTTTGCAAATTGTTAACAAATTCTGTAGAAAGTAATTTGATAAAGTTACTGTCCTCTCTGATACAATAATCTGACTTCCTGGAGTAAGTCATAATCCCAAGATGCAGAGTAAGTTATGTCCCAGTATCATTTGTTGCAAAGTTAGAAATGATCCTTACCCAGTTATAAGGGAATGATTATGGATCTAGTTCATATCCTTTATCAGATAAACTGGGTTATAATAAAGTGAATTATAATGGGTTTATTAAGTGGGATATTATGTAACCACTTAAAAATATTTAGGAAAACTCATAACAGCCTGAAAGTGTTTATGGTTTACATAGTGAAAAAATCAGAATACAAGGTTAGAAATACTTCATGATTTCCCCCTCAGGGGAAGGGAAAACAAGAAAATAAATGGGAGGAGATATGCCAAAATATTAACAGTAGTAGTGTTGGAACTGGGGTAGTGTTTTGACTAATATTTTTCCAAACTTATTCTATAATGAAGTTATATTACCTTATGAAAAAGATGCTTTTAGGTAGAGAAGGTATGGAAAAAACAATAATTTAGTCAGTGAAGTCATTATCTGTGCTGTCATATTTTTAGAGTATTTTCAAAATTAAAATGTGTTTCCTTAAGTTCCTTTGTCTTTTCTGCTTCAGTGATCAATGCTGCTGTTTTGGATGGATTTTAAAAGTGTGAGAAAAAGAGACAGTTTAAAACCTGGGTTGCCAGGGTAAAAAATGAGGTCATAACTAGTATCTGAGGGAAAGTACCGTGAGCATCAGCATCCTTTTAAGCAAAGGGTCATTCAAGTAGTTAGGAAATCTCATCTGCAAGGTAATAAGCTGCTTCTGAAGAGTTGAATCTTGAAAATCTCTCTGATTTTTTTTTCTTCTTTTAGGGTTTTTAGTATCCTATGGCTGCTGAGTGATTGAGATTCCCCACATTAATACAAATTTTATACCTCCTTCTGAGCAGGATTCTGAATTCTTGCTGGGTAGAATTCTTTCTGCACTGTGCACTGTGGGTAAATGGATTTCTGGTGTGTGTTCAGCAGTCTGTGGTCTCACTGCTTCTGTTCCATCTTCAGAGTTGTGTTTTATGCTTTTTTTTTTTAAAGAAAAATTATAGCCAAATATGTCCCTTTTGTGACTCTAGGAATTGAAAGCAGTATGATGTTTTTTAGACTAATTCAAGTTTTGAAATCAGCAAAAAAGGAAAGTAAAATCTCACCTTGGGAGTGATTGAAAGGTTTACCTTTCCTTCAGGGACAGCTAACCTTTTTTTAACAATTTTGACTCAGTAAATCTAGCTGAGCACCTGCTGTGTGAAAGTATGTTCAGGGGATACAAGATAAGTAGGGAGCCCTTGTCCTCAAAGAAAGTACAAGTAGATAAGCTAAGTAGCCAGAAAACTGTAACAAGGCAGAACAGCTAAGCATCACAAGTGGCAAGCTGTTATCAGGGATTGGAAGAAGGACACATTTCATCTAGTCTGACCATAGCAAAGAATTTCACAAATGAAGCTGCACTGGAAATGCTCTTAGAAGGATTAAGTGGGGGGAAAAAAGATGCCTTCTACAAAAAAAAGGAAATATGAGCTACAACAAATTATCTAGTTCCATTTTGCTAAAATACATGGTATGAATAAAGGAGACAAGGCTAAGAAAGTGGGTTGGAGCCATTCCAGCCAGCTCCTGCAATGTTAAGCTGGAGAGATGCTACTTAATTTCAGTAGGGAACAGGTACTGAAGGTATTTGATCAGAAGGGTGGTATGATCAAAACTTTGCTTTAGAAATCTTTCTGCACAGAAGTTGGTAAGAGCCTGGCTGTCAGTGTGGAGACCAAAAAGAATATGAAATAGACTTGAAAATGACATGGGGATATAATCTGCCAGAATTAGCAGACCACATGTATGTCAAGTTTGAAGGAGAAGGATGAATCAGAGTTGTTGCTGAGATTTCTAAAGCCTGGATAATTAAGAGTCAGGTGGTACTGTTACTAGAAATGGGAAAGTTGGAGAAGAAACTTATTTGGAGTTTGAATTTAGGCAGCTTGAGTTTTAAATACTGGTAGCATATTCCAGCTGAAGTGAAAAATACTTATTATCTTACAGATGTACATGTGAAAGATACATCTTATCTTTTTCTACATACATCTGCTTAAGTTTGTATACTGAAATTAAAGATGAAGGTCTGGCCATTGCTCAGGTATGGCATGGCATTCTAGCATGCCTCAGGGCTGTGTAACAGCAGAGATGGCTCTCAAAATCAGAGAGATTTTGATTTCTCTCAGGAAGTCAAGGCATGGAGGTAATATTGATGATAATTCCTGAAGAGCCCTTATCCTGGGTTAATCTGCCCATCAGTTGTGTGATAGAGGAGTGAGCTTCGGGATTAACAGCCTTTTTTTGTAGGATGAGGTAGAAGAGGAGCTCAGAACTTGGTTTTAGCTTTTCCCAAGACTTTGGCTATTGGACATTTAACCTCTTTAAGGCCTCAGCTTTCTCAAATGTAAGGCTTGTTAAGGGCAGAGATTTTTGTCTTCACTACTGTATTCCTAACACCTAAAACAACATCTGGAATAATAGGCACTTGATAAGTAGTTGTTTGAATCAGTAATGAATATATCAGATGAGGAGGATAGGTGAAATCAGATGTTTGTTTAAAATACAGTTTTTTAAAATTTAACCTTTAATGAAAAAATAACTTTTAAACTTTCTCCCTACCTTTTTTCTGTTTCTACAAAGAGCCATTCTGCCTCATTTGGCAGTCAGAGTAGTGCTGGATGGTCTGCTCAAAGGAAGGGTGTTAGAGAAACAGCAAGCTCTTGCTGCAAAGGAAGTTTAGGCAGTTGTTCTCCTCCATCATGATGAGAATTTTCAGGGAAAATTTAGTTTGCTAGTCCAGATTGTAGGTATACTGAATTGAGTACTGTTTGGTGCCTAGATGCAGTTATAGATCCCGAATATAGTTCCCAAAGAACTGCATTTAAATTCACCTACATTTAATTATCTTCTCAAATTATTTTAATGCCAGTTGCTTAAGAACAATTTTTTTAACATTATTTTATTCAACTAGAGAACTGTAATTATTGAAAGTTATTTTGAAAAAGATTTTGAATAAATATTCCTAAAAACTTTCTAAACAGATATTCAAGAAAGATACCAGTGGATTAGGCTCTTCCATAATTTTACCCTTGGTATTTGTCTTTCCCAGTTCAAAAAATGGTAAATTTGGCTATTGCTCTGGTTCCGCTCTAAAGTATTCTGCATCACCCTCCACAAGGAAGGGATGAAAACTTTGATAGTCTTGCCTGTTTCTACCTGGTGAAGCTTTCCTTGCATTCTCTGATCAAATTTGATCAGGAAGTTAAGTCCTGCCAGTATCCAGAGATCTAATATTGGAGTGCAGTAGATTGTATTGTCAAAGGTTGTATTCATTGTGTTTGTTCAACACATTAAATATGGAATATTTCATTGACGAGGATGTGCACACAGCAACACGCTTCCTGCTGTCACAGCATTAAATCTTAGCTTGTGACGGTCCTTACTCAGGTAAATGCCACACAGACCATGGTTCAGCAGCAGTTTTGATAGTTTCCTTTTCCTCCCATTGATCCCTTTTATTTGATAGGTTTGCTGTGGGCCTAGAAGGTTAGGGAGAACAGATCTGTTCTCAGGTTGCAAAGTCATACCACCCATCAAGAACTATTAAACTCTACCAGACATGGTATCCTACCCCTGATAATACCGAATCCCAAAATACTACTTATTTGTTTTTATAACCATAGTATATGTTTAAAGGAAATGGTTTTATTCTTTGTAATCTTCTACTAAGTGACTGTTCACTTACAAATATTCCAGTTTGATTAGGCAGGAAAATAAGAATGAAAGGTCAGTAAAACTGATCCCTCATCCCTTCAATAAGAATCATATTTAAACTCACTCAGTACCTATAAACACACAAGAAATAAACAAAACTTAAAAAGTCCAATAGCCTTAATAAAACAAAATCTACATTCCCTTCCTTTTACAGAATACTGCTTCATTTTCAGCAAGGGTCAGATTTTGCTAGTGGAAGGCGCAGATGAGTTTGCTCAGAGATAATTTACCTCCTTTTGACCTGTGTGTAGTCTCCTAATTTGCTGTCTGCTGTCTAGCAGGAGCTCAGATGTAGAGATTGCCCACTTGCTCTGCCACCCTCCCACAGAGAGCTCAGTGCAGAATGGGGCTGCCCCTTGCATCTGGGATCTTAACTCCAGGGGAGACATTGAAAAAAGCAAGTGCAAAACTGAAACACAGTCCTTTTCTTAGCTTCTCCCATTCTAATAGCTAGTCACTGCTGCTCACCTCTGCTCTTAATTCGCTATTCCATATTAAAAATTTTCTTCTGTCTGTATACATTCTTCAATATTTTGTATTTCAGCAGACACCCTATGTTTTGAGATGCCTGCTTGTAGGAATCCTACCTAGAGAAATTCCCTATACCATTTTGAGTAAGAATAGGGCTTTGAGTAGAGAGTTTCAAACCTCTAGGATGGTTCCTGTGGTTTTTCTCAGAACCTCACAGAATGGATAGTACTCTCTGTGTGGGCCTGCATAGTACTGAGTTTGGGAATAATCCCTTCAAGGTTGTACAGCAGTTTTCAGATGTTCCTGATGTTTGGTCAGGTTTGTAGAATACAGGAAGTCACTGTACACGTGACAGGTTACATAGAATAACTCCTGTCTGACATAAGAAAAGTGATTCTAGTTCATGAACTTAATAGAAGGAAGTTTTAATTTTGTGAAAGTATACACTTCAGTAACTTTGCCAGCTTTTTCTCAGTTCATGTCTGAGTTCTGATGTACTCCTCAAAATATCTTAAGATACTTCTTTTACCATTCTTCCCACCCTATGTTTTCTTTCTCTATCTTACCCCAACTACATAAAAAACCTTTTTTTCTTTTATCTTGGAAGTGTGGTAAGAATGTAATGTAGTGTATTTATTGCAAACCTTTTGGAACTCTTCAGTCTTTATTCTTGTTAATTATAGTTGAAGACTATAATTATATAATGAGCCTAGAAAACTGACATAGGGGGCCAAAATGTTCTGTACAGATGGTAACCTTTAAAGGATTTTGGGAGCCATGAAGCAAAGTGGATAAAGTTCTTTGTAAATGCAATCAAAATTAATTTTTCAAAATAACTTTACATAAAGAATAGGATTTGGTGATTGGTTTGCTACAGCAGAAAAAAGATGTCAGCCTGCCTTTTGCTTCAGGAACAGTAGCTTTATCTCCAAAAAGGATTTGATAAAATTTTTAAGTCATACATGGGGGTGGTGTCTGAGTTGTTTTCAGACTATTTTCCTGCCCTTTTGTGCCTTTCTCCCCACTGTCTGTCCATCAAGCCCCATCAACTGACTGTTAGGCGAGATTTGTTTCTTCTGCCCTAGGCACAGGTGGTGGTTTTGACTTTTTATGCCAGGCTTCTGTTTTCCCCTAAGTATTTTGTGTTAGCTTTGCCTTTGATTAATGCTATGCTGGATTGTTGCTTTCTTGTTTCTACATTCGTCTACAGGATAGTAAACCAAGCATTTCCACACAGGTAATACAATCACAACTGAAGATTTTAAAGCGTTCCCCCAAGGAATTTCCAGTACTTGAGATTCCTGTTCCTGCCTTTGGGGATGTACACACTCCATGTGGACCTTTGCCTTCCAAGTAATGCAGAGGATTGATGTTGCTGAATGACTGATGGCCTTTTAGATAGATGTGTGCATGAGTGATTTCTGTGAGTGGAGGGCTTACATGCTGATATCCTCGGCTGGTTTGCTTAGTATAACTAGCTCCTGTGCTGATTATCCCTAATCATAACCCCTGTGTACATTGCTTAGAATATCTTTTAGGGAAATGTACATTAGCAGAATACCGTAGTTGTCAATATTCCTTGGTTTCGTTTAGCTTGTAGGTACTCATTTGCTATCTAAAAGTGACAAATGACCCTTTCTGCTCTATCAACCTCTACATATCAGTCCAAATCCTTAAATGCCAAAATAATCACCATAGAGTTGGGCATTATACTGAACAGTAATTTCCAAAGTAATAAACCAACCACCCATGTTCATGTCTGTCACTTGGCTTTGTTGCTGTCAGTGGCACTGAAGGCCAATAGCATGGTGCAGTGTGTTCTTTGTCACAGTGAAAGCATTTATGAAGCAATCTGGAAAGTTAACTTATTTTTCTCTCTTTAAAAGATAATTAGCACAGTTCTTTGAGGATGGAGATGAAGGGTGACTTTTAAGCCTTTGGAAAATATCTTGATAGTCTCATTTAGATAAAAATCTTAATTCTTCCAACGAATTATTTTATTTAGCTAAAATGAGTGTAAGCAAGTACCCAGGTCTCCAAATCAGACAGTGGCATTAAACCAGACTTCTGATAAGTATTTCAATAAAAATGGAAATAATAGTTGACCAACTATCTAAGGTTTTGTTAAGCTTAAATGCATATGAGTGTTTTATATATATATTTCTTGCCATTTTCAATTTTCTCTGCCTTTAAAACAAACACAAAACAGAGAGCATTCATGAGAGAAGTAATTGCAAAAACGTGGATAATAGAACTCCAAACAATACGAAATGGCTTCTAAATGTCTGGATACTTTTTAAGCATTCAAAGTTGTTGAGAACGACAGTTCTGTATAAGTAATTAAGAGCTTAAATATTCTATTAAGAGCTTAAATATTCTATCTACTTAAATATAAAAAAAGTCCTAGAGAGAACTGAAGAAGCTATCACTAATAGATATTAACTAGTTATAATATCAGAACAGATTTATTAAATCTCTAGTAGTTAGAACAAAGGAGCTTAAGTACTCTGAGGATATGAATACTCTTAATAAGTTTACGAAATAATTCTGATTATATTATAAACCATAGTCTTACTTTGGAAGATGAAACTTCTGAACCTCTGGTGACAGAAATAATTGGCAGGGGTGTGTATTTTTAAAGAGTTTATAGCAAGCAAGTTAATATAGCTGCCTGACAGAATGTGCTCATTGCTGAGGAATATCAGAGAGCCTGGCCAGGGTGCCCGGTAGTGCCATTACCCATGTGACTCCATATGACATTAATAAAGAAGATGAGGAAGTTGTAGCTGGCATATGAGGATTTTTCTTTCTAATGAGAAAAGCCTTTTGGTGACTTATAGGTAAGTTTTAAACCACTTGTGAGTGACATGTAGGAAGAGGAGAGTGAATGTGGAGCCTCCACACACTAACTCGCCATGCTTCCTTTCCATTTTATAGAATACAACATTTAGAGCTGTGAATGGCTCCCAGATTCATACCATCCTTGCCAGTTTTCATGCAGAGCAGCAATATCATATCCCAACCCCTGCTGCTGTTTTTGTATCAGCAGCAATTACAATTTGATTCACTAATCCCTCACTGCTGCCTCTCCGGCTCCTCATTTTTCATTTTTATAGACCTTAGGGCCGTTACAGCTGAGCAGCACGCTGCTAACACCTCCTTGGCCATCTGGCGCAGGGGAACGGGCATCCAAACTGATCCGTCAGAACAAAAATCACGTATGATGATTTTGCGTCATCAAGAGCAAGATCAGGATAGTTTGAGATCTAAAAAACAGGTAAAGAAGGAATGAAGAGAGTCTAAATGATAGCCAAGGCGAAAGCAGAGCCAGGAAGGCTTTGAACTGAAAGCCCTACTTTTGCTGGGAAAAGATCTACTTTTTTGCTTTCTAGAAAAAAATAACTGATAATACTAAAATTTTCTAATTCTAATATCTAAATCTTTGTCTGACTCCAGACTCAAGGAAAGCATTATAGCCTTATTTTCCTCCTGTTTTTTTTTCATATTCTTGACCTGTGATCCTGCTTTTAAGAAAATACTTTGTTCATTCTTTCAGATAAGAAAGCATATTTCGGCCCCTGCCCCTGCACATTTTTATCTTAAAAGTCTTATGGAGATTTATATTGAAAGAGGTAGGCTCCCTATGGAGGGGAAGGCAAGGCATATTATTTTGATTCCTAATGCTAAGAATTTTCTGTATTGACTACTGTCCGTGTAGACAGATCTTTAATCAGTGAAATAATTTGTAAGGATGGTTGTTCCTTTGTCCAACAGTTTTAACATTCTGAATTTGGTCTGCTTAGTGGCTACTGAAATTTTACTAATATGGAAGCTAAAAGGTGATCATCAGCTTTCCAAGTTATTTTTTTCTTTCTCTCTCTTTGTCGTCCTTGGTGATCATTGTTTTCTGTGGGGGGCGAGGATAGTGTGCTGCAGAAGGTCGCATACTGGCTCCCCAGACTGAAATGAATGCGGCTAAGCTAACGTTTTTCTCAGAGCTTTGCAGCCGTTGTCAGTTTAATATCCAAACCAAACCCTCAGGGACACTGATGCACTTGGTTGTGTTGCTGCTCGCCGTTGCTTCATCTTTCCTTCCCTATCTTGCTCCCGTGCTTCCTAATGCCTGAGCAGACTGCACCGTCAGAGCGCCGAGGAGAGTGGGGGATCCAGCCCAGCCGGCAGACCGATGCCTCATACCTGACGTCTCACTTGGCTGCAGACCGCCATGGGGGATCAGTGCAGGTACTCACTGCCCTTCCTGCCTTCTCCTCGCCTTCTCACCTCGGCTGACAGAATGTCGGCTCGCTTCTGAGACTCAGGCTCCTTCACAGTGGAAACTGACAGCAAGGTTGAGCTGCTTCTATAGTTAACTGCTGATTTTCTGCCTCGCTGGACTTAGATGAGTCACTTGTTGAGATGATCTCTGGTTGTTGTCATTGACTAAGAAATATTTTTATGATTTCCAGTACTTATTTTTAGTTTAACTAATCCTATATCCACTCATGATAAGCCACATCAATAATGTCAAGATAGAAAAGTATGTGAGAGTCAAGTCTGAATTGTGAAGAGCTGAAATAAGTATTTTTTGGATAGAGGATTTCATCTCTAGTTCATTCCGTGATGATACATACTGAGAATATCATCTTAGCACGTAGCTGAGAATGTGAATTGGTCCAAGTCAGCCATTTTTGAGTGGGTGCTCAAGAGGTTGGACTATTTCTTTTTGTTCCCTGGAATAAGTGGTCTTGGAGAATTATTTCTGATTTCATTTGGACAGTTTGGAATCGCTATTCTCTCTAGTACTTAAGAACATCTTGTGTCTCTTAACTTTTCTCACACTGGTAAGGGACACCCCCAGTTGGGGCACACAGGTGAGCCCAGAGCTACCAAATATAAATTCTTATAAAAGACAAGCCTTTTACATGTAGAAATGCATCTTGATAGGCTTGATTCTCTAGAATATGATTTTACGTGGAGTGAAGATCCATGGAGTGTTATTTACAGGAAATTAGGAGTCAGCGTTGGCCCTGTAAAAACCTCATAGCAACACGTAGGTTAAAAATGGATTGAGCACTACTCTTACCTGCTCCTGAAACAACATGAATAATAAAGGGATTTTTTTTTAAGGTAAAAATCCATATAAGGATAGAGAAAACAGAAGGAGGTAACAGAAACAAAATATTAAAAGCTAGAAAGCAAATGGGCAATTATTAAATGATTTGAGAGTCCCAAGAAAACTGGATCCTGAGCCAGTGGAGGGGAAGCTGAGAGCACATTCACACTGTGAATCCACAAAGGACTCAGAAATAGGCCTTCTGTAAGGGGGAGGTGGGCACGGAGGAGCACATGCTAAAATACAGACGATTTGTTGAAAGTCTTATTTGAGAAGCCTGAGGTCCTTAGATGCGCTCCTCCTCCCCAGCGAAGACCAAAGATTTATTCTTTGAAGAGGGCACTAGAGAGGGTCTCTGGGTCAGGGAATAGAGTCACGTTTGGGTGGGGAGTCCTATACTGAAAAAAGGGACATTCACTGAATGTATGCACACCTGACTGCCTGCTTTCCTCACTTAGTGCTTCAGAATGCTGATTGCCAGGTACGTGCCGTTCAAGCAGGAGAACACGTGAGCATATTGGCAACAGGGTTTCCCTAATGAAATGCCCAGCCAGCTCATTCTGCGGTGAGATACGTACCTAAAAGACCCATCCCTGAAGTCACAGTGCCAGTTAACTTTGCAGACTTACTTTCATTTGTAAATGCGAGCAGGCAAAGATCACCAGACTTCTGAGGGAAAGCCTTTAGTAAAATAGAGGCCAAGGAACAACAGCAACCTAGAAAACCTTATTGCTAATGTCCTCAGGGACAGAGGATACTGTAGCGTGAAGCAAGGACACGATGCTGTTTTTTAAAAGGAACATTCTAAGAGCCAAAAAAAAAAAAAAAAAAAGAAGAGCTCCTGGAAATTAGAAACATAAATAAAATTTAAAACCCAATAGTTTGGAAGATACAATTGTGAAGAAGTCTCCCAAAATTAGAGCAAAGAGACAGAAAGATGAGATTAGTAGAAATAGCAATGTAAGGTTTAGGGAGAGAGAGTCCAGGATATCTAGTCTCTAAATAATGGGAATTCCAGAGAGAGCAGAGAAAGAGGATATAATTTAAAAAACAATTTTCCAGAACTCCTATTTCTGGATCAAAAGGACCCACTGAGTGTCCAGCAGAATCACACCAAGCTGTACATCATTGTGAAATTTGAGAACATAGAGGGCAAAGAGAAGGTCATTTAAGCTTCCAGAAAAAGAAAACGGTCACATGCAAAGAAAGGATTAGTAGAGCTTCAGATTTCTGAACAGCAATACTAGAAGCTAATAGGCAATGAACAATGCTTTCAAAATTCTAAAGGAAAGTTATTTCCTACGTAGAATTCTGTATTCAGCCAAAATGTCAATCTGGTTGGCATATGGAATAAAAATGTTTTTGAAGATCTGTGGTCTCAGAAATTTTACTTCTTGTGCATCCTTTTTTAGGAAGAGTTGTATTTGTTGTATTTTCAAAACTATATGTGGTTTTGGGAGGAGATTTCCGCTACTCTACTCACGCTGCCATCTTGGCTATACCCCCCTTGTGCATCCTTTTTTATGAAGCCCAAGAGGATGTGTGCTATGAAATGAGTGTAAACCAGGAAAGAGGAATATATGTGATCCATGAAACACGAGATCCAATACAGAAAAGAAGCAAAGGGACTTCCCATTATAAAGGTAGAATTAGGAAATCCCAGGATGACAACTGTATACCAGTAAGAGAGGAGAGCCTGTCCCAAACAGAGGTGGTCAGGAGGCTCTGAGAACAATTTTAACAGAATGATGAAATGACTAGGATATTGATATGTCAGAATATCTTGAAAGTAGCTGTTTAGAGAAATGAGTTTGATTAGAATTAGTAATTAGCAATTAATATATAAAAAGCTCAGTAAAAATAAATTTTAAAAGATAACTCCAAGGGAAACAAGAAATTTTATGGCATACCCCTTGGTGCAGCTGTAAATAGCTTTTAATAGTTGTAATGTAAACCCCAAGAATTGATCTAGCCAAATTACAGTATAAACTACAATGGGAGACTAGAAGGTTGGAAAAAATGAATGTAATGTCTAAAACTGAAGAATCAGGATACATATTATCAAGAAAAAACCAGATATGGAGGCAAAAAACAAAGGAATCAGTTATAAAGGAAGGGGAAATGGTGGAATGGGGAAAAGAAACTTGTTTTTCCTAACAGTCATTGTAGAAATATTTGCTTCTTTATACACTGTGCTTATATAACCCAGATAAAAATATAACCTAACAGTTTAAAAAACATATACATAGCCTGTTTTTTTATTGATCACAGTTGTCAAAACTTTTTAAGTTTAATAATAGCCTATCTAATAAGAATTTTGGAGGGTAATTTGGCAATATATCTTAAAGTCTTAAATATCTGCTCTTGTTTATCTAATGAATCATTTCAGTAAATATCCCTCAGAAATATACAGATATTAAAGTTATACATTCTAGAACAATGCTATTAAAAGAAATATGAATCATATGTGTAATTTCAGATTTTCTAGTAATCAGAAAAAAGAGTAAAAGAAACAGGTGGAACTAATTTTAATGATATATTTAACCTAGTACATCTAAAATAGTTCAACATGTAACCAATATTGAAAATATTGAGATCTTATACCATTTTATTTTTTTACTAAGTCTTTGAAATCTTGTATGTATTTTATACTTACAGAACACTTCAATTTGAACATTTTAAGTCCTCAGTAACCACATGTAGCTAGTAGCTACTATATTATAGGACAGTGCAATTCTAGAATGTTTATTGCTGCTTGTTGTAATACCAGGAAGTCAGAGACAACTAAGTTCATCAGTTCAGCATTAACTAAACAAATGTAATATTTCCATAAAGTAGAGGTAGATCTCTGGGCATTATAGGAAATGTCTAAGATGTGTTTTGAAAAAAATAACTTGTAAAACAGTATGTAAAATTTAGCCCTGTTCTTATTTATTTTCATGTATGTCTGAAAATATGTAAGAGAACACACACACATATTAGGGTTTGAGAAGAAAAAAACAGAAACAATATAGAGTAAGGATGGACAAACACAACCAGTGTACCAAATCCCACCCTCTGCCTGTTTTTGTATATAAAGTTTTATTAGAACACAAGTGCACTCCTTTGTTTACATATTGTCTATCACTGCCTTCATGAGTAGTTTAAACACAGACTGTATAGCCCACAAAGCTGAAAATATTTACTATTTGTCCTTTCATGTAAATACTTTGCATGCCCTTGTTCTCAAGGAACACATACCAGATTTCCCACTAGCCATTTCCACGTGGATGTCACTGGAAACTTGCATTTTTTATGTTGTCTTTTTTAATGTTCTCATTTTTTTATAATAAACATGCTTACTTTGTAATTAGAGAAAAAACTGTAAAGGAAAATGCTTCATAATCAGTCATATCTGGACAGTTTACTGGATTTTTGTTCCTAGAACACAGGTATGCTCATCTGGACAGTGTTTCCTCTTGTCCACTGTGAGGGGTTGTCTTTGGACTAGAAATGGAGTCAGTGAGCAGTTAGTCAGTGGCAGCACTTTAAAAAAAATGCACCCTCTCCCTACTCCCTATAAAGTAAGTTCTGCCAGCTTCTTTGACACTTAGGGGACAGGCAACTGTGCTCTTTCCCTAGTAAATAGGTTAAACTCTGCTGATCCTCATTACACCTGCCTCTGATTGTAGCCCCAGTTTTGTCAACTAATGAAAACTATCTTTTTGCAAACCAAACCAGCAGTACCTTTCTAGCACAACAGATGCCCACATATTTCTGAGTTGTCTCACTTCCCAGTGATCATATGAGCAAACCATGCTTAGCCAGACCTGGGTGACTTGGAGGCACATAAACTTAGTAGGCAGTGCAAAGCTCTGAGATGAGAAGAATTTGCTCTGATGAGGCACATGGTCACTCCCATCCCAATCTATGCAATGGGCAGACCCCCCATGCAGTTTTTATAACTTCACTGTTCACAGCTCTTGTTTCGTTAGGTCAGTATTGTTCCCATTTTGTATGTAGGGAAGCTAAAGTAAAGAATTACCCAGATATGTTAGTTGTGAGATGTAGGATTGAAGCACTGAGTATCAGCTGAAGTACTGCTCTCTTTGGCACATAGCTCTGATATGTCCTCATGGTAACATTTTGAAAAATGAGAATAAAAATTTTAATTTTTTGAGAGTCCTATAAAGGATGTTACCACTGTTAAGGACTTAAGTTCACAATAGAACTTTACCTTAGTCTCTTTCATGGTTAATCCTAAGATATTACTTTGGTTTTATGTAATACAGCCAGAGGAATGTGGGGTTAATTTTAGTAGTGATTACAACAAAATGTCAGTATTCCAGATACACAAATAAAGGTTATTTTTTAGTGAAGTTATACTAAAAAATCCCTTTAAAAAGTATAAAATTGCTATTGTTTAAAATACTAATAATTTATTACATTTATAAGGTTTGTTATAATTTTTCAAGTCACTTATCTAGAGATCATTGTGTTTAACTGCTATAGTAATTGTGAAGTGGACAGGACCAAGGTTATGAGCCTAGTTTTGGAGAGTCACGCATGGGCTCGCAGAGAACATTGCTGGTGGAGCTAGTCCTGAAATCCGGCTCTTGAGTCACCCGCACTAGTGTTTGTTCCACTGCACATCTAGGCAGCGGTTCGGTGGTCTGACAAAGTGTACCTTCAGCTTGAAATAACTAAGTGAATGCTCTAAAGTCTCAGATTAGTAACCACTGATTCCCAAGTGTATTTTAGGTACACTTAAGTTTAAGTTAGTTTAAGGTTTCCATTTATTCATGATTAATTGATATAGACAAGAAGTCTAGTCTGTAAAATGGGTATAACCTCTTTTTGCTTAGATTGCCCACTCAAGGACATTACTTACAGGCCAAGTGGTAGTTCATAGCATGGTGAAATTAGACAGTATGTGTGCAGCACTGTGACCCAAAGTCACCAGGTAATGTGCAGTAGTGATGTTTACTCCTGCGTCTTTCATGTCACTAGAGGCCAAGACATTTTAAACATCTTGTCCAGTTCCTGAGTTGTTCATTAAGAAACTTATTCTGATTTCTCCTTTAACCCTTGTGCTCACAGCATAAATTTACCAGCATTGCCACTAGTGTACAGCCAAAATGCGCACAAAAGAAGCAAATATAGGCTAAGGAAATGAACAGGACAGCATTGGTGTGAAGAGCTGTCGTTCTCCAGTCTGTAAACCCTCCTCCTCAACTTCGTGTTTTTTACTGTTTTTTCCCCAGCTTTTTACTTCTAAATTTTCAAATCTACAGAAAGTTGAGGGTGGAGGGATCCAGTGAACCTGTGTATATCCTTAACCTAGATGAACGATTATTAAGATTTTGCCATGTTTGCTTTTAACTCTGTGTGTGTGTGTGTGCGCGCGCGTGTGTGCACGCATGCTGAAGGTAGGGTTTTGTTGAAGTATTTGAAAATAAGTTGTAGACATCATTACATTTTACCCCAAAACCCTTCAGCCTATATCTCCTAAGAATATTCTCTGATGTAACCAACACCATTGTTATATCTTAGAAATTTAATCACATTTCCCCCAGTTGTCCCCCAAACGAATTTTTTAGCATTCAGGATCTAATCAAGGTTCATGCATAGCATTTGGTGTTATGCCTCTTCAGTCTCTTAGTCACTTAATCTATAATAGTCATCCCTATGTTAAAAGGAAAAAAATATTTTAAACCAGATCTTTTTTGAAGAATCCAGGCTTGTTGTCCTATATAATGCCCCATATTTTGGGTTTGCAAGTTTTTTCCATCATGCTTGTAGTCAGAAAAAAACTTTTTTTTTGGCAAGAATACTCTAGAATGTTATGTCGTATTTATTGTATCATGTCAGTAGATAAAATAAGATCAAGTGGTTCCATTAATCAGAGATGCTAAATTTTATCATTAGCAGAAATTTGGATCTCACTTGGATAAGTCCAAATTTAATGTTGTAGGTTTCTTTGACTAACCATACAGCATTGTTTAAAAAATTTTTAAAGCATATATCATTAATAAGAACAATAAATATTTCTGGTTTAGAAATAATAGTGGGTATAGACTGCTAGTTAGTAAGTAGTATTTAACTTGTTTGCCCTTTCCTCTTTGAATAAATGCCCCAAAGACTCCTTAATACTAAACATTTCCTTCTGCCTTCCTCTTTATGACTATGCAGGAGATATTTGCAAATTAACTGCTGTTGAAGACCCCAGATAGAGGGAGATAAGAATAAGAGTTTATGGAGGGGAGAATACCAGTAATAATGAACACTTACTGAGCCATTACCATGTACCATGGCACTGGGCTAAGCACTTTGTGTGGATTGTGTGCACAGTAACCCTATTAGGTAAGCAGCGTTGTTTCCCCATTTTGCAGATTAGGAAGCTCAGGCACAGAAAGATTGGAGATCTTGCCCAAGGACACACAGCACGTAAGTGGTGGAGCTAGGGTTCCAACCCAGGGCTGACTAAGTCTAGAGTCCATTTTTTATTTACTGTGCAATGCTGCCTCCATTACTGTGTACCAGGTATTATACTAGAAAGTGTCTCATACATTTTCTTTTACAATTCCCACATCAGCCTGTAAGAAAAGTCTCAAATAGATGAAGTTACTTACCCAAGGACATGTGATGTCTGGACCATTTATCCTATTTTGTGGTTCTCTCCCAAGTTTCAGCCAAGGTCTTTAACTGCAGAGTGGTTTGTCCAGCAGGGTCCCTTTTTCCACTCCCCAGCACCCACACAGACAGGGGTCACATGCTGGAAATGAACCCAGGTGACAGAGGCAGCAGACAAGCGAGAGAAGCCTGACCAGGTGCCCATTAACCAGACGGCAGAAGCCAGGGCCTTCAGTGCATTTGGGGACCAGTGAGAAAGGGGTGACACTGAACCTGAAATAAAAGTTGTTGAAATAAGACTGGTCTTCTCAGGGAGAATGTTTCTGCTGCCTGGCCTCTCACCAGAGAGGATGTGGCAGTCATGTTATTTGAGTAACTTCAAACCAATGATCAAATCCCTGAAGAAGTTTCCGAAGGAAAGTGTGATTGCTTGCGGTTTCTGGTGCCCACGGTTGATTTCCTTTTTAGAATATTTTCTAGCATCATCACTGAGTGTATAATTACAGCATAATAAACTGAGAGGAGTAGAAGTAAAGAGAGTAGTAATATGAATTATTTCACAAGATTTTTGTGAGGATTAGGTTTACACACACACATCACAGTGTAGTAGCAGAATGTGTCACACAAAGTTGGCATTTAATATGGGAGGTATCATCATGAATATGTCATTGAATTTTGTGTTCTCACATGATAAGGGTCTGGGAACCTTCCCTAAAATTAGGACATGTGGCCCCTCAACACAGGAAAACAAACATTCCCAACACAGCCTGGCTAGGACCTAGAGACCAGATCTCCCTTAGTGACCGACCCTCTGTGGCGCTGGCAGGATGCCCCTCTTGCCACGGTGTCTGTCACACTCTGTCTTTCTATTCCAGGTGGTTAGCTCGACCAATGGAGAGCTGAATGTGGATGATCCCACGGGAGCCCACTCCAACGCACCGATCGCAGCTCATGCCGAGGTGGAGGTAGTGGAGGAAGCTAAGTACGTTTGTCTTTCAAGGGGGCTCCTGAGTCATAGGTTGAAAAATCTTTTCTCTGTTTCTTCTGTGTGCTGCTCATATCAGACTGGACTCCTCACGCTTGTGTCCATGGCTTTCTTCCTTTGACCATTTTGGTTTTTGCATGGTGCCTTAAGCTGCTGCTGCCCTTCTTTAGCTGTGATTTCTGGGAAGACAGTCATGTTTTTCTATTCCATGTGGGGCAAAATACATAGTGACCTAAGAGAATCATGATTTAAGAGCTGTAACAGACAGTAGGCGGGAGACTTGGGGCCCTGGAGCTTCTTGCTCCCAGTGGGACACAATAAAATCTGCTTATCCGAACAGTGGGCCATGCTGAATGGCACACACAAGCTTTCTGGTTCTCGGCTAACAACTCTGCGTGGGGAGTTACGGAGCAAGGATTTCAGGGCCATTTGTTCTCACTTAAATGATTCTGGTCAGAGGGACTCAGGTAAATCAGGCAAGAGAGAGAGACTTGGAAAGGAGAGGAAATCGCACCAATCCCAAGAGGCTGAGGAGGTCACCCCACTCCCTTTCTGCCTCCCTTGCACGTGAATGCCTTATGCTGCCCATACCACCAGCCCCTTGGTGTTTTCTGCATGGTGTGTGTTTAAATGTGTGTTTAGAATATGCAATAAAAGGTGAGCTAACAGCGATTCTGCTGCAAAAGCAGCATTTCTATCGCTTTTTTCCCTTTTTGCCTTATCCGATCCAGATTTAAACTCCAAGAAAACATGAGGTAGGGAGAGAGAAGTCCTTTACACATCAGGAACTTCTGCCAAACCTGATATGGATGGCCTTTCTTTTTTTTTTTAGTTTTTTTATTTTGATATCATTAATGTGCAATTACTTGAACAACATTATGGTTATTAGGCTCCCCCCATTATCAAGTCCCCTGTGGATGGCCTTCCTTGTAAACCCTTTGAGAACATTCAGGCTATCCCAATTTCTTTTTCTCAGAAGTAGGCGACTTATTTATCAGGACAGCGTGCTCTTAAGTGGCCGCTTGCCTCCCCAGTAGCCTAAAAACAAACCGGAACACGCTTGTCCCTCTAGGTGTCAGGTGGTGAGAGGCCAGTGTGCACTCCTCCTTCTGGATGCTCTCTGCGTGGCTGTCCCCCTGCCCCCTCCTCCTGTTTGCTTGCCGACCTATATGATAAGCTCACTTTGCTTTCAAAGAGGTCCTTTCCTTGGAAAGCCAGGACTTGAAGCCCTCTACCCAGTAGATAAAGAGCGACCAAGGGTGACCTGGACTCTCTCCTGTTGAGTCTCTAGGCAGCTTCAGATGCTCCCCTCCCAGTTTATAGAAGGCATATTTGGGATACATGAGGAAGGTGGTGGGGGATGCAGGGTACAGGGGTTAATGCCAGGAGGAGACCATTTTTAGTAAGGAAACCTACTCCCTGTTCTTCGGGACTTCTGAGATTTTAATGGTACTCACAGTTTTCCAGTTTCCATGATAAACCTTCATTCTCCAACCTTGGCTGCATTTTGGAAACACCTAGGGTATGTTAGAAAATATGAATGTCTGAATCCTAGTCTAGAGATTCTGATTTAATTTACCTGAGACATGGTCAGAACATCAGGAATTGTGAAAGCTCAGGCGATTTGAATGTGTAGCCAGGATTGCGAACATCTGCACTAGGCTTAGTCTGACCCAAATGTTGCATGGGCTTGAAAGATGGCTGTGCCCGTTCCCACCCCCCACCTCACTTCCAGTTCACTGTTCTGGCTATTACTTCGAAGCCTAGACGTTTAGCTCTGGATTGAATAGTATATTTTGAATACCAGGATTGAATGGGCTTCAGTCTTATAATATGCCCTCAGGTTTATCTTTTGAACCCATTCACCTCATTTCATTTTGGTAAATGTGTACACTAATTGTGTATGTGAGTGTGGTGTTTATGTCCTGTGTGTAAGGTAGGGGGGCTGTTCACACAGATTTCAATCAGGTGTATTCTGTCCTGGGATAATCCAAACTCTAGGATGTAAAAAGAGTTTAAAGTCTACCCACTTAGTAAAAAGGACTACTGTGCCTCTTGGCCACCAGCTCCAGGCTTGCGCCTTCTGAAATGTGTGGAAACCAGACAGGAGCAAGTGTCATCCAAAAGCTTAAAGCATAGGGCATTTTGTGTGCTGATTCCCTTAGTGATCCCATGAGCTACCAACCCATCTGCCCAGCGAACTGTCCGAGCACAGCCAGGAGTTTTCTGCTGTCCTCTGTGTATGAGGCAGGCATGTGTTCCCCCGCTTGGCCATTTTCATAGGAAGAAGTCACAGCTAGAGAAGCACGAGACATCCCATACAACCAACCCCTCATTGCACGCAGCTGTGATGCCATTTTTCCATGCAGCCTGCTTGTGGGGAAAAGGGGGCTTTTGCCTATGTTAAGGTTCATCTGGGGTAGTGGGAAGAATATGTGAAATCTGCACTTCCAAGCTTTTCATTTGGGATTCCTCACCCAGATTGTTTTGTGTAAAGAGGAAAGAAATAACAGAGTCTTGGTTTTTGTTCTATATCCAAAATGAACATCTAACTTCCCTTTTCCTGTAGCTGTAGGACTCATGTCCTTGTTGGTGTGTGATTAAAAGGGTGGCAAGGCAAGGCAACTTTTTGGTTGATTTTTATTATGGTAAGAACACAGGAATTTTTGGTTATCCACTGACTTTATAACTTAGCAAATGTAGACCTCATTTCTCCCGAGAATTAATAAGAATGGGATTTAGGCCATTCTCAGACAGCTCTGTCTGAATCCAGAGCAGTGACCCTTCTTGCTCTGATTCCTATCCTAGTAAGATAATGTGTCTCGTAAGCCTTTTTCCACCTATAGATGAAGAGCTAACTGCTGCCAGCTGCTTTGGGTCAGGCATGTTGGACTCTCAGAGAGGCCTGGGACTTCTCTTTCCCTCAGAGTAGTTGGGAGGAAACTTAACATTACAGAGTAAGACTTCAAGTGGGAACCAAAATGTCTCGGCCTTGGTTTTTGATTGAATTCCCACAGGCAGGATCATGTGCTCTTTCTCCTGCTGCCTTCCTGGGAATTGCCTAGGAAAGCCCACCGGGGCTCCCGCCAGCTCTTTGTTTTGACTTACCCCTCACTGAGATCCGACTCCCACTCTGATGCTTCTTTCGGGTGCTGGCCCCTCCACCAAAGTGTGGGGACCAAGTGACCCGGGCCTACTCACCCACCCTTGACAAAGGAAGAAACTAAACACAGACACATACTGCATGTTTGCATGGCTCACAGGGAGTCGCTTCCATCTCACCTCTGTGGACTAATACTCTCTCTTTCTCTTCCTTTCTGTGTTTTTCCCTTTACACACTCTGTAGCTGCCTGAAAATGCTCAACCTGTGGTGAGTCCCTCTCTCCAGTCCACACGCTAGGGGAGTGGACCAGACTGGGCTGGGATTGGCAGTGCCCAACAGAATGCCTCAGGAACACTGAGTGGCTTCCATGTGCCGCCCTGTGCATAGCCACCCAGACTGGGGAACTAGACCCACAAGTGGGGATGGGGCAGGCCTCTGCCCAGGAATTAATCTGCCCCTTCTGCCTTTCAAGCCCACTTCATCACTGCCTCCTCCTGTCAAAACACTATCCCAGAATGTCCAAAATTTTCTCTTTATTTTTAGCTAAGTGAATTTTCTCCCAAATTCATGTAACCAGATATCAAACAGAGAGCAACAGAGGTATGAAGATAGGTTACTATGTCAGATCTTCAGGTTATCCTCCATAACCCCAAGGACACTTGTCAGATAATCTCTCATTCTGCAGCTTGGTCTCCAATGTGGAAATTGGCTGCTTTGGAAAGATCTGTGACTTTTCTCTGTGACCCATTTGGTTCCTCCATCTGTAGAATATGAGTCTCAAAACAAGAGAGCCCCTTCTGGAGGGAGAGATGGGCGTGCTGTTTGACTGGTTTTGTTTGCTGTCTTCTTTCTCGTTTCCCTTCCTTCCCTCTCCCATCTCCCTTCCCTCTCCCTCCTCTTTCCTTTCCCTTTCCCCGTGGGAGAGTATAATGGGCCAAGGGCTGACCTGGCTAGTGAGAGACCCTGGGAACCTATCACAAGGTCCCTTGAACGCATTCTTAGGAACAACATGAGGGATCTGGAAGGGGAGGCCCCAAAGAGCCCGTGTCTGCCGAGGCACACTCCTGCTGCGAGACAGGGGCCCCTCCCTGCTCTCTTCCTGGCCACCGCCTGTGACCTTCCGGCTGCTTCTGGGCTAGTTGGTCTGGAATTGTAACTCTCGCACGCCGTCTGCATGCGTGGTGTCGTGCTCTACATGTGGGAACAGCCTGCTGGGCTCTGTGACTGCGGTGTTTCTATTTGTCCTCAGTGACTGGGTTGGGCGTTGGTTTCTGAACTCTGTCTAAGCCAAGTACCTACAGGGTTTCCCCGGGAACAGGAGTGTATGAAAGGTAACAGTTGGGATTTATGGAGATAGAATTTATAGTCTTATAGTATCAAGCACATGTGGCCTGTTCAGTACGTGTCTGTGTAATCTGACATTGTGGTGGTCTTTTTTCCTGTGCGAGTCAGTCCCATGATCCTGACTGCAAATACTGGGCCTGCTGTGTGCTCCTCTGCTCTGTACTTGGAACTCCGGGGGGTTCCCAGAGAGCTTAGGTTCCAACGAGCTGGAGAGACAAGACACGCCTACTGGGAAGGACAAGTAGTTCTCCAGGACACTCATGTTATTGTCCCTCGAGAGGGCACTCTGAACAGGGATAGTCAAGGAGGACTTGATGGATACTGTGGGGCCTGAGCCAGGTAAGAATGTACAAGAGCAGCAAAAAGAGAAGAAGAACTGAGGGGAGAGAGCCAGGTCAATGCAGGAGGCACCGTGGAAAGGCAGTGGCTCAGAGGCCTGGCAGAAGAGCGCTGAGTGGCTTGCCAGCAGGGACGCTGGATCGATTCTGACTCCGTCATGCTAAAAACTTGTGATCATCCAATCAAAGAATCAACTAGAAGCAATCCTAAGACACAAAAAGGTGCATTACTCTCCATCATTCTCTTCTGAGAGGAAGGCATCTCTTTGGAGCCAGTCAGTGGGCTTGGTCAGGAATCTGACCCTGTTTAATGCGTCCTGTTGCTCGTAGTCACCACAGAAGCTGATGAGTTGAAGAGCACATTGTGGGGCCTGCTTCTCCAGGGTAGAAAGCTTCTGCTACTGCTGAAGCTTTAACCACAGTTCCTACAAAAATTAATGTAGGGCTCTCAACCACAGTTCGCTCTCTCCTCCTGTCAGGTGGATTCAGCCCTGCACATCACATTATGACGTGCTTATAAGCAGACAGTAGTTCTTCTTATGACTTGACTCAGATGTGGTAAAAGAGAAGTCATATAGTATGGACCAAAACAGCATTTCAGAATTTTTTATGATTGTTCTTTAAGACACAAAGTCATCATTTTAGCATCCTCAAAAAAAAAAAAAAAAGACTGGAAATTGACTTAATTATTAGTGCTCCCTCTGGAAATCATGATTAACAGGGAACAGATGGACACCACTGAAATATTGGTGAAATTCCCCATGAGATTTAATTTGCTATGTTTGACATTAATTTCAGGACATTTGACTTGGAAAGTGTGTGTTTTCCAGAGCTTGTGTACAAAAAAAGACCATTTTTTTAAATTAAAGCCTTCACCTGGCACTCCAATGAAGACTGTTTTAAAGTGTTGGTCTAATTTTATTTAAAAGAGTTTATCCAGTCTCCAGATACGTGTGACACTTTTAGTGACTATACTCACACCCATTATAGTACTTCACAACTATCGTTGACATGCTTAGAAAACCTTTTTAAAACCCTCTTGAGCTCCCATTTCTAAAATTTCCATGTTTTATTCATTCAGATATGGTTAAAGCCCATCATTGTCTGTATAAATGTCTATTTCTGCATTCTAAGAAACTGTCTCCAAAATTTTAGTAAGTAGTCCGTTGGGTGAGGAATACCAAAGGGTCTGACTAAAAAATGGGGGAATCTTAATTGCAGTAGAGAATTAGGGGTACGGGGAGTAAGCAACAGTTTTTTTATTTCCATGTGAATATTCCTGGCATTAAACCAGGAAAGATTAGGAAAGAAACCCAAAGAGTTTTCTCAGAAAAGCTTTTCTTTCAGGGGTCCAGCAGGTCTGAGTTAGACTTTACTTCCCTCCATTATTTGGCATCTTTGACTCATCCACCACCTCTGCCCCTCACATTCACATTTCCCAAGTGTCAGCTTCCTGGAAAGGACATGTTTTGCACCAGCCGTGCCACAGGCCTCAACACCCACTTCTGGAGTAGTCACTGCCTAAGCAAGAGACGTTTCTGTTCCAAAGACAGGAATAAGCAGGGGTACTCAGTCTTAGGGATGTGCCAGGGCTGAAGGGGGCAGGCCTCACACCCTACCTGACCAGGGCTGTCCTTTCCCCAGTCTGGCACAGCAGCAGCAATCTTGGGGGGCTACTCTGCAGCCAGAATGCGCTTCCCGATGATCAGTTCCCAGGCTGTGGCACTGACATCCTCCGAATGAAGAGTGCGTGGTGCTGGTTTCAGTCTGAAGATCTGGGCTCATAGGTCTTCTAAATTACAGTCAGGGCTTCTGCCTGCTGCAGGTTGCCTACGCCAGGAGGCTGGGTGGGGGGGCAGGGATGCAGGATGGAGAAAATCCTCAATTCTTCATTGGTAGCATCGCAAGATCCTCCTGGAGTCCCAGCCATGCTTTCCATGGGATTTGTGTGCCTTAGTTTAGTCTCCATGCCCACTGGCCATTCAAGTTGCATTAAATAGTTCTGCCTCCTATATCAAGGAGCAGACAATGCAGCCTATTTTTATGCAACCCTGAGTATCCCCCAACCTTAGATCTAGATAAACGTGAGATACCTGGGTCGCGAGTTAGACTAGGAAATAAGCCTCTTTCATCCTCCTTCCAAACATGCTTGTTACGCCTATGCCTCTCCTGTAGGGTTTTGATAACTAGGTTTGGTAGCTGCAGATTAAAATGAAG